CACTATATGATTGAAAAAAAATTGAAAAATTTTTTTGACCTCTGAAATCAAGATTGAAAAAGAAAAGTCTATCTTAGTAGTGTATTAAAATAGGCCAATGCATTACAGTGCAGTAGCATAGGACTTTCGTGTTGTTACTGTTCTAAGTAGCGATAATATACATATTTCTCTTATTACAAAGTACAAGTTATGTTTTAGAAAGAGGTATAGTATAGTAAATCATGTTTTTAACACAGGAAACTCTCATATGGTAACTAAAACAATGCTAGTTCAGAGTATTACTAGTACTAAGCACTGTAATGCATATACCTATTTTAATACACTACTGAGATAGGCTTTTATTTTTTAATCTTGATTTCAGAGGTCAAAACAATTTTTCAATTTTTTTTCAATCATACAGTGGTGTAGACTAGTCTTTTAAGAACATTTTGCTGGAAAATGTCTTTGGATACGAGGCCCTGTTATAGAGTTATGATTTTTTAAATAACATGATGTCAAAAAATCCGCCCAAAAGCTTATCTTATTTTTGTTGGTTTCGCACCACTGATTCGCAATGTTTGTCATCACTTCAAGATGTCTACCGATTCGTGAAAAAGGCCTATTCATGCTTGTTCAGTAGGAGGGGGGAATTTACCCCTCTATCCCCATGACCATCCACTGGCTCTGCCTCTAATTGGTTCTCTCCGAATTTCAGATAATCAGTTTAGCCACAGCCTATTAAAGTGACTAAATTTATACAAATTGAAGTTGTACATTTTAGATAATATTAAATATTTAAACAAATAATTGATATAGTATCATGCATGCAATAGTGAACACACAGCTGGCAGTCATAGGTTAAAGGTTATTCATTTATACCGTGCAAAATACAAGGATCTCTATGGCAAAACACGTGAACAGATGTAATTAGAGAGAACAAAAAAAGAAGTACTCCAAGCCAGCATCCAAACTGCAGTATGGGGATATGCACTCGTCGCTGAGCAGGGATCAAATTGTACCCTGTTCAGTGCCAGTTCAGTCTCGGCCATCCCAGGACTTAGACGCCTCCCATCAGAAAACCAGTTTTTATTGTGCACCATATATATATATATACTCTCGTATAAGACGAGGCATAAAATAGTAAATTACAATTGAAAAACAAAGGGGGTATTATATGCACGACATACAATTTTTCGTCGTATGTGATAGTCTGTGATACACAAGTTAACTACTGCAATGAAGCTACTAAATGTTATTATGAATGAATGCAATTTTAAATACGGGGATTTTTATGAACATTTTAAACTCATAAATTGATATTATTTATTTATATTTTCAGAATTATGGATGATCTGAAAATCATCTTGACTGGAGTAAAACCAGACAGTACAATGTCAAACTAACTTTCCTTGAATGGGACCAAATTCCAAAGAATCAACCTCTACTAGCGCTGTCAGCATACTCCAGATTCCAAATCCTTTTGTACAAAATGGGTGGTAAAAGTCGAAAACAGAGCTCGATTCGGGCTGAAGAATGTCCTATGACAGACTTTGGAGCTGACGAAAACGCCAATGATGTCGAATGGGTAAATAAAGAATGGGTGAAGAAACTTTTCCGTATTGCAGCGATTGTGAGTTTTTGTTCAGTCAGCATGAATACGCCATTTACATTTGAATATAGGCCGGTGCTCGAATACGTAACGCTGATTCTAGACACCATGGTAATGCTTCTCTTCACAGCCGAAATGATTGCTAAGTGCCGTTCTCGGGGTTTGTTAAAGGTAAAAATATATGATATATTGCGTTGTTGTTGTGTTGCGGTTTAGAATTTCAACTTTTTAGTTGCTCATTTATAGGATTATGTACCTGTAGACATTCATGATGATGTTGATAGTCAAAGAGTCAAAATATTTGAATCCCAACAAAATTGTAATGTATGGTAATTATATATGACTAATTTTTTAAATATTGTTGGTATTTAAAATTGTTAAACACATAATCAATCAATTTGCTCTGTAATTGAAACTACAGAGCCATACAGTATTTTAGGATTAAAGGATTATTGGAGGAAAGGGAGGTGGGGGGCAGTGATGGAAGGTTTGCAAAAACAGACAAACTGGGATATTTTTAGTCACCTTGAATGTCTGGAAGGTTCAAGTGGCCAGGCCAGTTGGCCTCATTATCTGTGAAATATCTATAGTAGAAACCTATATTCAAAAATATCAAATGTTATATTAAGTACATGTAGGCCTACTCAACCTTTTCTGATTTGGGAGCAGGGGTGGATACACACCCATTGCACCCTAAGATATGGGCCTGCTAAACTAATGTATATTCTTTTTTATTCATTGATTACAGTATCTTAATTCTTATTGATTATTTTAACTCTTGTTTTAAAGGCTAATTTTAGGTACATACAGTAGGCTTTATGCATTTTAAAGTTTTGTAATCTATACTGTTTCACTATCACTATTTAAATTGTATTTTAAATATCTTAGGGAGCAGGGGTGCAGCCCACGAATTTCACGTCGGCAATTCCCGACCATATTGCCGAGCCAGAATTGCTACAGGACGGCAATTTTTTGCCGACCTAGGCCTAGATTTCTTTGCTTCAAAAACTGCTTGGAAAGTCAGGTTATAGCAGACACTAAATTTCATGTACGTTGTCAAACCAAGGAAATTGGTGGTTCATAAAACAGATTTCTTTGTATAGTAACTATTTTTAGTAGGCATGCAGTATGTACGATTTGTGTACAATTGTCTTGTCTTTCTCACCTTGTCATTTCGTAGGCTAGGCCTAGGTAGGAATGACGCTAGCCAGCCAAAGCCTACAACATCGCACAATTGAAGCGACGTGGGCCACATAGATCGTAATGCTTATCTAAACGTTTTTGAAAGTGGGGGAGCCCCACATTTCATAAGTTAATAAATCTAGTATGCAAGCAAAGTGAGCATCTAGGGTGGGGATCAGGGTGCCGCCAAGGGCCCCAGTGGAGATCCAGGGGCTTCGGATATTTCACGACATTTGGTGAATTGTATATAGTTATTTTATAGACATCAAGCTACAGTACTGTATTTCTGAACAAAGTCGAATTCAAGATTGCTTCCACGATCACAATGAATTATTCATCATTTGAGGGGTATATCCTTGATACAGTATTCCCTGAAAAAAATATCTTTTCCCCCGATTTTCTAGGAGCTGGAAAATGGTAATTTAACTGTGGCGTGTCCAGGAAAGTCAAAATAAAGGGGGTTCCAGAGAGAGACTTGGCAAATAATGTCTACCCGCCTCACCCCCACCATGGTTGGGGTTGAGGTACGAAAAAATTATGATTATGGTACCTCTCCAGATTAAATATAAATATAATTTTCTGTTTTCTCCATTTTTTTAAAATAAATTTGAAAAAAATTAGGAGGGTGGGGGCCGTGCCAGCTGATCTCCGCCACTGTTTACAGTAATATAACATTTGACGTAGCCTGTCATTTTGTTTCACAAATGTTTAATAAAGGTTTCACTACAGTTTTTACAACTTATAGTACATTAATTACAATATACTATAAATTTTGTAGTTAACCTTCAGAGAACTTTATTTTTAATAAATGGCAAGCTAATTAAGTATTTCATTGTTTTCATTAAATTTGGTTGGATTACGTTAGTTTGATGGTTTACTGTAAGCCAATCACATACACTTATATCTTCATCGTTAACATAAACAGAACTAGAGCATCGCAGCATGTGCCTACACCTCCACCTCCACCCTGTGCCTAAATACAGAATTTTCGCAATGCGGATGAGCGATTCCATTGTTTTCTTCATGGTAGGTTTTAAGGAAACTTTACAGAGGAGTGCTTTGCAGACGTCAATCAACATGGTACACACTGGTTGCTCAACTCAAAAAGAGAACATGTAATTTTCGTTTGAAAATGAAAAAAAATCTATATTGAATTATAATAATTATAATAATAGGTCGTTTTAAAAGGCAAAAATAAACAAGGTTTCTAAGCACAAAAAAAATAAAAATAATGACATTGTATAGCATTCGTTAACAATGTTTGTCACTGGTGCTGGAAGCAGTCACAAAAGTGGGGGGGGGGCCAGGCCCCCAGTGGAAAAAGTGGAGGGGCCAATGGCCCCCCGGCCCCTACGCTTCCACAGTTGTTGTCGCCTGCATTTACTATATTTCCTTTATTTGTGTTTTCCAGGGAGATTATCCGTATCTAAAAAATAGATGGTGTATTTTTGACATGACAATGGTGTTACTTTTATGGGCCTCTGTGATACTTCAGGTAAAATAGAATCTCTTTTCTGTTCTTTATTCTTCTTTATTTTATTTTATTATATTTTTTATTTAAAATGGAATACAAAACAACTAGATCTATACTTTCAGCAAGAAGACATCAGGACTGACAGTACTAGAGACAATCTGCTAATGTCAAAGTTCATTTGGGACAGTTGGCATCAGCAGATTACTCTTGTTTATTATTATATCATACGCATACATAATGTGTGGTGGTTGTGAAAATAGATATTGTTTGCTGCACACAGTTAGAATTTGCATATGAAACACCTCTTGCAGTAGCTCTGTCAGTTAATGAGGACAGCTTACAGTTGCTTAGGCTTGTGATAGCTGCTGTGTGCACTGAACTGTGCGAAATGAGAATGCGAAACTAAATCCTTAATCCAACGAACACATAATGGTACTTTTTAGTAGTTTAACCCACTTAGTGTAACTAATTTGCCGCCATGGGGAGATGCGTCTGCATCCCCAGCCTTCACTAACAAATGTAATTGGTACCCCAACATTTTCAAATGAAATTTAAAAAAAAAAAAAAAATTTAACACAAGTTTGTCTCCTAAGGTCCTGAATTGGCAGAAAATTGTGAGTGATTTTGTGAGTGTTGTTCGTTCTCCACGGCCGTTCATTATGATCCGAGCTTTCCGTGTTTACCTGAAGGTTAACATGTCCCGAGCAAGAATGGCAATTATATTCAAGTAAGTTTCATACATACAGTATAGGGACATTCCCGCATCTACCATCCCATCATACACTATAAGAACCAGTGGAAGGTCTCTGAGAATGGGGACACTTACAATCTGCATTGACTGCCAAAATATTGCAAATGTAAATCTGTTGTAAATGATAGTATTTGAAGTAAAGAAAAGGAATGATGATAAATGATAAGTCAAAAAAAAAATTAAATAAATAAACAAAATGATTATAAAGTATATTATAATATGTATTTCTGTTTAAATTTAGTTTTTAACCTCATTCTAATCTCTTTTTTCAATTTAAATATATCAAGTTTAGTCAAGTAAAATTCCAGAAAAGTAAAAACAGTAAAAAATGGTAAAATAATAACACACACACACAATTAAAACATTATAAGTAAAATACAATAAAATAAACAGTTAACAAATAAACAAATAACACAAATTATACAGCAAAATTTTAAAAGCCTTTAACGCCAATTGGGATTTCTAAATATTCATTATTCAGGAAAGCATCTCTCTGTAAAAGTAATTTAATGCTACCTGTGTATTTATTATTAAACAGACATATCTGTTTAATAATAAATACAACCAGTGTATTATTATTAAATAGATATTTAAATGAGAAAAAAAATTAGTATGCATTGCATTAAATATTGTAACCTGGTCAACTAATGTATTACTGTCTTTGACTACTACATTTACCTGAACATAAAATTTCCCTATTACATTTTTTTTTATTGAATCTTAATTTCCATTTCCACATTTTCTAAATTTGAATAATATTTCATTTGTTTTCTTCCATTAACTACAAGTTTATTTGTAGTGCACCATTTAACATCAGTTGATTTTTATGTTGATAATGTTACTTTGCAGACGTTCCGGTCAGCAAGTTTGGAGTGTGGCCATTTTTCTCATCTTCTTTTTGGCTCTCTACGGTATCCTGGGTGTGCAGATGTTTGGCAAGTTATCCTTTCATTGTGTGAGAAAAGGTGCCAATTTGAGGTTAGGCTTTACATTTATTTTCAGCAAGTTACCTGTTTATAAAAAGAAATAAAATGAAAATAAAGTTTTATACACAATTTTACATGCTCCATTATACACTTTTACACCATCCCACAGCAGTTCTGTTGTACAGTAAGATTCTCAGAGACAGTATCTTTAAAGTATATTTTTATTTTTTTCATATGTAGTGATCTGGAGTTAAGTGACTTTGCAATCCCCGATACATACTGTCGTCAAGAGAATCCTGATTGTCCTGAGGAAATGGATTGTAAGAATGTTGAGAAATTACCTGGCAAGCTTAAAGAATTTAACGGCTTTGATCATATCGGTAAGTTAAGGCTTGCATAACTTGCCAATAGACAAAATTGGTTGTGTTTTATGCAAATATGTATGAAGGCAGGTTTTGATAAATTAATGCATTTCAGGAGTTCTGAATTTTAAGTTTAATATTTATATTTTATGATAGCCAATGTTCTGTGAATTAATTTACCTTAAAGTGTTTTGGGGCTCATTTGTACAGCTGTTTGTTTTCCTGAACCCTAATTTCCATCAAAACATGATTTCGTACATATTTTTTTGAATACATTAATTATCAACAAAATTAGTCAAATTTTATCGCAACATTTCAGTGCTAATAGAAGAAATGCATCCATTGACTCTTGACTATTGTCTTCTAGGCAAGAGTGTATTTACAGTGTATGAGAGTGCCTCGCTTGAAGGCTGGGTGTACATCATGTATAAAGTCATAGACAGCTTTGCTCCATGGATGGGTTACCTTTTCTTTGTTACCATGGTTTTCTTTCTCTCCTGGTTAGTCAAGGTAAAGATGCACATTTTTATGATTCAATATATTAAAAAGAATAACATCTTACAACATCAGTTTAACTTTTATTCACATAAGCTTTGTGGCAAATTATTTAAAATTATGTCAAAAATGAATTTTTAAAATGAATGCAGAAAGGTGAATTTATTTATTCATTTATATGTTCATTATTTGTTTGTCTGGTTGTCTCTCCCTCTGGCTGTGTATCTATATGCATATATGTGTATCTATATGTGTATCTACCTGTGCATTTAGGCAGTATATGTGGCAAAGACAAGCCAAAAGGATTTTTAGTAATTAATACAAGGTTAAATGAGAGCTATAAAATGGTAAAAGAATCATTTAAATCTGACATTTTGTTATGGAGTTGCAGAGTTTAAACACAAAGCTGAAACAATATTTAAGGAATCCGCCTTCAAAGTTTATGATTTCTCGAATTTCTCCGGCAGAAATCCTCACCAAATTGTTAAAAATTGTTTTTTAACATTGAAAATATGGAAAATAACAACATAGTATGATGTGTAAATATATAAAGGTTAGTTTAGTGCAATAAAAGAGATTTAAAAAATGTTCAACATTCCAGGATACTCGTTTTGGTCATTTTCTCTGAAACAAGATTTGCGACAAGTGACTGTTTTGGCTTGTGTTTGCCACATATGTTGGTTGGTTTCACTGTACAGTACTAAATCAGAGAATTGACAATTTACAGCGTGAATTTTCCCCACATCCAGGCAATCAAATGACCAACTATCCAATAAACATCTGTGACTTTCAGTTTATGAAACATAAGCAATTTGCTATGCATAAAAGTCTGTGTTCACACCTCCTGCTGATAAGACCACATTTGTTACTGTATGTTAATCTCTTCAAGTAATTACCAAAGTTATCTTTTAGATTTGTGATAACACATGTAGTACAGTAAATTTACAAGTGGAATAGGACACTGGCCACAGCATTTTTGTTCTAATGTTTTTTAACTTTCTTTGAATATATTAGAACGTTTTCATTGCGGTTATTGTTGAGGTATTTGCTGAATTGAGAACTCAGTTTCATCACAACAGTGGCAAGGAAGCAGTTGGTGCGTTTGGCTCTCAGGTGACTTCATTGTTTCATCATGGACAGGTCCATGGTTTCATATTGTACTCATATTTCTCTACCAGCTAGGGTTCCAAAGGAGGGAGAGTTCTCATCAGTGATCAAAAACTGGGATTGAAGGGGGTGTGGGTGTATTATGTTATCGTTTTACTTAATATGACATCATGGTTTCTCTCAAAATAAAGTACTGTAAATCAGAAACTATTTAATATTTTGGTCTGTTATTTTTTAAATGTTGAGACTTTTTTCTGTATTCCATCTTAATCTTCCATACCAAAAACATAAAAAATAATTATTATAAAATTACTTTTAGAAAATATTTGTAAGAGGCTCTGGCAAAGCCAGCTGTTGTAGGAAAAATTCAAAATTGAGTTTTTAGTGGTGTTAGATTCTGCATGAAATCTTTATAACAGTGTATATTTGATGGATTTTTTGAAGTTATGAATATATAATTCACTGGATATCAGCAATGTAGGTTTTGAGAAAACAGCTTCCAAAGAATCCAAAATCAATAGTTTATTATTAAGATTTGTATTTTAAAAATAATTTTAAAATACTTTTCAGTTAGATTTAGTGATTAATATTTTGCAGAATTGTTCTTCAGTATATCTTCTTTTATAAAATGAAAAAAAAAAAACATGTAAATGTTGAAAATTCTGATTTTTGAATGTTTAATGTGCTTGTGGGAAATTACAAATTGTGACAAACTGGTCACATTTTGTTTTTTTGTTCTTTGTCTTTTGATGTGATGCACCAACTGATAATAGAAAATTGTGAATCTTAATATCCAGAAGGCTTCTATGCGCTTCACATTTACACCAGTAGAAACACCTGCGGCAGAGTATTCCATAGTAATGTTATGTTTGCAGTTTAACGTCTTCATCAATAAATCACTATATAAATAAACACTCTTTTTAATGTGTTGGCTCCATATAACTGCCTGGTACATAAGCTTGTTTGATAATTAGTTGATAAGGGTTTTTTTCATGAGAATCTTACAATTTCCTATTCTTCCGTATGTTTAGCAGGTTTTAGAGGCGGAGCCAACTGAACTGAGTCCTTGGAAGCTTGTGAGTGTTGATGAAGATAAACCACAGGGACTAGCACCCCACTTCTGCCAGGTCATCCTGCAATCTAGAAGCTTTCATTTAGCCATTCTCCTGGTAGTGGCCGTTGATGCTGTGTTTGCTTCAACATACAATTTATTTTACACTGACGATGAAGCCAAGAAAAAAAGATATGACGGACTGCTATATTGGCTTCAGGTACTAAATGAAATTTATATCCATGCGTTTATATGATGCGTTTTTTAATACATAACTCTAAATTTCATTAGATTTCTTGTATGCAATACAATACAATATTTATAGGATAACACTTTCGTAGCATTGGCACATGTTAGACAATACCTAATGGTGCATCCAAAGATGAACAAAATATATTTAATCAAAGAGCAAAAAATATATAAAATGAAATTCCTAAATGAATACAAGGATACAAGATAATTTATTCATCCAACTATTGGGAAAATTCATGGCTGGATACAACAATTTAAAAATGATGCACTTATGAATTTTGAATTTAAGAAAAATAAATTTCATAGTTCATAGAAAATTGGGGAAGACCTCGTACTACCCAGAGTTTAAATATTCACATCTCATAGTATCACACAGGATAGGGCAGAGGTGGTGTGTCTTTCAAACTGCTTTGAAATTGATCTCCAAATTTTAGCTTGCTTTGACATTAATCTCCAGTGGTGGCGCTACAGAGGCGATATCTATCGCTTAAGTGAAGTTGAAGCGGGGCAGTCGCTTATCCAGTATTGGCTCATCATGATCAATACTAGGAATGTATTAATTTTCCTTATCTTAAATTGGATCGCCAGTCTGCTATGAGAGAACATATTTCTCCCCCTGCCCCCTAAAATTTTACCTTTCCCCTTCCCCAGATCCCTTTGATTTCAGACACCGTCACTGCCATTGTTAATCTTTCAAGCTGATTTGAAGGATACGGCACTATATAAAACTACACTATTATTAAACTTGATACAATTTTCTTTTCTAGGTTGCTTTCACTGTGGTATTTGATCTTGAGATGCTGTTTAAAATCTGGTGTCTTGGTTTCAAAGGGTACATGAAACGAGCATATCACATTGTGGAGAGTGTGTTGGCTATTTTCACCACATTACACATCCTCTCCCAAGGCCTGTATCATACTGAGCTGACTTATTTCCAGGTATGATAGTATATCCACTAGCTGTGTCTGAGTTAAATAAACAATTTGTTGACCATTTCCAGAACTAAGACTTGGGGACATGATGAATTTGACATTAAAACTTTTGATTAATTGGGGGAATCAATTTTTTATTTTTGGGCCATTTTTTGAGTTCCAATATTTTATAGCTCATGTACTCAATACTAGCCTCTGCAAAAACTTAACCATTTTGCCACAACATGCCTCATTTTCTGTAATTTTGAAACACATTATTGAGAGAATCTCATTTATGTATGTAAACTAATTCATCAAAGAAAAATAACGCTTAAAAATGAAGGACTTTTCGACTCCTTTATAGTGTCATTTTCAAGTTCCAATAGTGAGGCATATAGGATACAACTTGAAAACAACACCACAACATTTCTTAGCATTAGGCCAAACAAAAACGATTATTGTGTTGTCCACAGCCCGACCGACCCAAATTGTACGAAATTCAGGGTCGGAATTTTATTTTATTTATTTTTTTTTACTACAAGGAACAATATTTTTATTAATGAGCTTATAAGGTGAAATAGCCATGGACTACAGTAGGCTAGAGAGCCAAGGCCTAGCCAATTTTGGTGCATAGTACGCGATGCAAATCCAAAATTGTTGCATTAAAAGTAAACACATTTTTGGTTAAAAAAAAAAAAAAACATTTTCCTACCGACCTACCCATTTTTTTTGTTTTCCTAAAACGTAGCCAACACAAAAATTTATTTTTATTATGAGTACTTATACAAAACATATTCTTATTTGGAAAACTAATTCAGTTGTGTTTATAATCAAAGTATCATTTTGTAACAATCCTAATTCTTTTTTTTTTTAGGTTTTCAGATTTATAAGATTGATTAAGTTGTCTCCCACACTGGAAGATTTTGTTCACAAGGTAGGTTCTGTATTTAGATTTTGATTGTAAGTATAGTAGGGTCAATATATTTTTTTTAGGTTTTTGATTGATTGGCTCTTAATTACCCTCGCCTCTTTGAAGGAGAGGTGAAAGGTATTGCACACAGAGCCAACTCGAGTGCATCAAGTCATACACTTGGAACCCTTTGCCTTAACCAAAACTTCACTTATCATTGTTTACTTTTAGCGTTGGTTCATGCGCATTCGCTTTCACATTTCTATCGGTGTTTTTGCGAAGCAAAAAAAAGCAACCAATCAGAGCTCAGGAAGCGAACCGACGCTTTAATTCGCGCGAATAAATTCACCTAGTGGAAAACCATCTTTAGGCATGAGTCAGAAACTTACACTGGTTGCCTTCACCATGACTTCACTGATTATTGTGTCTTTTTTATTTCAGGTCCTAGGTCCAGGCCCTTCACCATGACTTCACTGATTATTGTGTTCTCTTTTATTTCAGGTCCTAGGTCCAGGCCGTAAACTAGGATTCCTGGTTGCCTTCACCATGACTTCACTAATCATTGTTTCTGTTGTCAGCCTTCAGTTATTCTGTTTCATACCTGATCTTGAACAGTTTCAAAATTTCTTCAAAGTGAGTAAATCACATTTCTTCACAAGTTATTAATATTGTTTATAATATAGTAATATGTTTTGTTATAAAAACCCATAAATATTAGGAATATATCATATTATTATATTATATTATATTATAATCATGCTTTATGAATGATAATAGATACATAAACAATAAACAGTCATAGGCCTACATAACATGTGTTTGCCCTGCTCAAACCTAATTATTTATTAATATTATATTATCAATTGCATTGTTATTATCCACATAAAAACCAGTCATTCTGATGTAAAAAAAAAGAAATGTCTAACTTATGTTGGTCATCATGCATTTATTATTTCTATTTAATATTTAAAAAAATAATAATTGTAATATTGAGATAAAAATCAAACTTAGGCCTGCTGTACCAAAATCCTCGCCAGTACATTTTGAGTACATCTGATTAATTATGTTTTATTGTTTTATACTTCCTACAAATACATGACAATATTGGTAATTAATAATGATGATTTATTCCGTAGCCAGAAGAGAGCTGTTGACATTCTTTGGTGTTATTCCTTGCTGCTTTCATTCCTCTTTTTCTCAATCTGATATCCATCCATGCTTTATTTCGCTTTTTTCTCTCTTCTTTTCTCTGGCATCTCCTTTAATAATTGTGAATAACACTGGGCCATCTTTCCTATGTTTCTCTTCATTGACAATCTCCACAGTATAGTGATGACCTTCTCATATTGCGCTCTTAGGTCCGCATCATCCAGTTCTACTATTCTTTATTGTCCTTTTGGTCGGTTGAAAACTTACAGTGATAGATCCTTCTCTATTGCTACAACTACTTTGGGGAACGACTTAACCAATTTCATACGGTCATCTTCATTTGGCCCTTTTTAAATCTTGACTTGAATCTCATCTTTTTTCCCAATTCTAATTTTTCTTTGTTCCTGTTCTGTTTTTTTCTTTCTTTTCTCTTGACACTAGGTGAAAGAGCACACAAAGACATTGCACAATATTATGCTCTATAGAAATGAAAGACCTACATTACACCTTTTACTTTTCTTCCCTTCAAATCATCTCTCAGGTTCACCAATCTGGTGATTGAACCCAATGTTTGGCATGCTGTACTCCAACCATGTGCCAGCACCAGTGGGAGTTTGTGGGGTTGCGGGGTTTTGGGCTTTTGATTATCCTCATTATCATCACATAAACATCATCGTCATCATGATCATTACTATCTACTACCACCACCACCACCATCATCATTGTTATGACATTGCCAAACAACACCATTAACACTAGCCTTACCTATTTACAACATTATTTTAATTTGACGCAAATCCAGTTATTGTTTATTATTCCATCACGACAATAACAATTACTATTATTTTAATTAACATAATTAAATATTGAAGACATTTTCGATATACTTCCACTATTATGCCAATTCCATCATTGAAACTAAACAACAATTGTTCTCATTAATCCTTTCTTCCATGTCAATTCTTTTTTTCAATCTTCATTTATTCCTTTTCCTGTCACCTGTGTTGTCACCATTTTATTTATGTTTCACGCTTTGTTAACTTTTCTCCTGTAGGCCCTTATGTCAATGTTTCAAATCCTGACCCAGGAAGGGTGGGTGGAGGTTAAAAACTCCTGTTGGTATGCAAGCGGCCTCCATGATCAATTCCCCATTGCATTATTCTTTGTAGTATACCATCTCTTTGCAGGTGTGGTAAGTAATTATGCTATAGTATGAGTTGTTTGCATACTTAGCACACAATTATATGCATAACATATTATACCAATGCTAAATATGATGCCTAATGCAAACAGAAACAAGTGCAAAATAATTCGACAAAGCCTTAAAATGATTGTGGACCGATTGTAAGGTTACTCAAATTTTGGGCTCTATGTCTGGTTACTAATTGCCTCCAACTACAAATTGAGGCACTTGCCAAAAAGATGGTGCTTTTACCAAGGCATGAAGTCGCCAAGCAATGGTAGCTGACAAAAATGAGGCCCAAAAAAACCCATGAGGACATTATCGCTCTTTAGCCTTTGCTCACCCTTTCAGCAGCGTCGTGTTTTGCACTTTGTTTCCGGGTTTAACTGAAGGGTTAAGCAGTTAAAAATTGGTTTCTTTAAAAACATATGGAGAGCATGACAGGGAAACTGGTTTTTAATGGCTTAATTCTTACATCTTGGTAGGTTCAGAGAACACCACTCACATAAGACAAAACTCTGCACAATCTGTGTGTACCATTAAAATTAACCAATATCAGTAGAGAACACGTTTTATTCGTCTACACTATTGTGACGAATCACAACCTAGACACACTTCAGATTTGTATACACTATATGAGATATGAATCAAGAATTTTAATATATTAGAACACATTGTGTTTGTTTGTCACTTGTGAGCGGTGTTTCTGTTGGTACGCATATACATGCCTTGGATGCAACTTTGGATCAACTATGAGAATCAATCCATTCAATAACAACAGAAATTATCAATAATCAGTATTAAACAATAGTAGATTAAAATTGCTTTCATTGAATCAGGTATGATAGCCAGTCATGTGCTGTATATGGATGTTGAAGATGTATACAACAAAAACATAGCATATAGAACCCTATCATCTATGTTATATTTGAGATACATACTAGGCAATGTATATCATTCTTACCACGATCTAATACTAAGTGCTTGTTCCAGTTATCCTGCTAATTGTAGGCTGGCTTCAGAGCTGTCAATCATGTCTAACCATCTCACTTGCTTTCAGTCATTAGTTAAGTCCTTGGGCTTTGTGGGCATGCTCAGAGTTGATTATGGGATGTATATATCTAAACCAGATGATGACTTGTGATGACTGCAGCAATGATGCCGTGTTAATTATAATTATTTTGACAGATGATGGCAATATCTAGAAAGAGAATAGAGTATGATGTTAAAATTAATGATTTAATTAATATTAATATAACATGATAAAATTTTGGAAAATTGCTATATTGCTAATATCTGTAACAACATGGTACACCTAGTGATTTTAAATGTAATAATAACAACAAAAATTATAATATATTTAATTTAATGGTTGCGATACACCACATAGATAGTTCTGAAAAAAACTGTTGTTTGTTGAGAATGTCTTTACGTTTCAAGTAGCTTCAATCGTCTTCAGGAGAATAATATCTGCAGAGAATCCAAACAGGGAAATACTTTGGATCCTCTGCAGATATTATTCTCCTGAAGACGAAACCTCGAGACATTCTCAACAAACAACAGTTCTTTTAGAACTGTCTACGTGGTGTACCTCAAGCATTAAATATAATGTATTATTACTTTGCCATGCAAGCCTTTAAACAATATAACAAAAATAATAACTATTAACAATTACCGGTATAAATAATGATGATTTTAGTTAAAGTGATAAAAAGTAGGGCAACATCAATAGCTACAAATATGATTTCAGCGAAACTTTATGATATATGTACATTACAGTACATATTAGTTGTTTTTATATCTATACTATTGTTAACAAAATGTCGCCTTTTATGGATTGAAGGCAAGTTTTTACGCAATTATTTTTATAATGATAAATTAACATGACAACTGCTCTTAGTCCAAAAATTATAAAAATTTTAAGAATAATTTACTGATTAAAATCTTAATTCAATGAAACACATTTTGATGAAGTATCTGCAATATTTTATGTATAAATACAATGGTTTAAAAAATTATCCTAATTCCATGGTCTTCCCAACATGCCCTGCTAGCCATCCCACAATGCTTTGATAATGCTTTGCATTATGGGAAGATTATGGTATCAGGATTATTGCCTTAATTCAATATCAAATTTATATTGTTTTGGTTGGTTCCAAGTTGTTCCAATGATAGGCATACTGTCATTACTCAAGTGCTTCAATCTATTTTTCTCTCTCGCTGGTGTTTCTACTGTCAAATAACCAATAATAACATCTATTGAATTTTTCTCAATAGGCCTTCATGTCCATGTTTCAAATATTGACCCAAAAGGGCTGGGCAGTAGTCATGTACGAGACTATGTATCAAACCAATGATAGCTTCAACCACCTTATTGTTCTCTACTTCATTATATACCATCTTTTCGCTACCATGGTAAATACACACACTCACTCTGCAGAGTACAATGATCTCATCAAGGGCACCTGTCAATTACAGCCCCAGTTACAATATGAATCTGAAGTAACTAAAAAATGAAAATTTCTGCTTGTAAGCATTGGAAGGTACTGGTCTCTTTGAAAACCTGAAGTTCTACCAAAGTACCTAATACTGCAGCAGAAACTAACATTTCTTTTGTTTATACCCTATGTTGTTTAACAACTGAGCAAGCATTAATTATTCTTAGTTTCCATATTTCATTCTTCTTTAATTACATTTAAAATTTGAATGAAGTAAATTGAAACCTCCAGTACCTTAATTTTCTCTTTATATTTTAACTTTATCAAGCTCCCCCACCCCGAAAAATAAAATCCAAAGTAATCAAATTATACTTTATAAACATTTTAAAGCTTACATTAATTAATTTACCTGATTTGATTCATATACAGTATATATATTTGTATTGAGATTGTTAAGCAATTTTTATTTATGGCAGCTAAAAATTTCATGGGAACTTTATGATGTTATTCCTTGATGAGGTCATTTCACTCTGTTGTTAAGTGGATGAATTGACGTACTGCATGATACCATGATGACATAGGCTTCAGTCACACTAGAGTCTCAAGTCTGGCTTGACTCACCGCGAGTGAGATTTTCGTAATGTGACCGCATCTGGATCGACTCGCGCCTGGCGTGACCTCGATCTCAATCTACCTATCTCAATCCCAGCTCAGTACCCAGATTGACCCTGGCGTGACCGGGATTGATATTTCCTCGTCGGCTGTCGACCAATCACAGTCGATGACGCCGTTGCGTTTGGAAGTTCTTGAATAAAAAACCCGCGGCAATCATCAGTTGTCATTTATAAATGCACTTATCAATCCGAAAACTAGCATCGCCATTACATCCGAGCCTAGGCCTAGATCATCTACATTCGCGCGCGGGGCCGGTATTTTGATTGTGCGGCGCTTTAACTTCTTGTTTCGACTTTCCTAATTTGGAGATCAATCCAACTAAATTCAGGTAAAGTGTGACCGACCCAGAATTTCGAGCCTGGCTGGAAATCTCACACGCGGTGAGTCAAGCCAGCCTTGAGACTCTAGTGTGACCATAGCCATAGAATCATTGCATGAAATTCAAGGTGAATTGTGGGATACATCAAGGTCAAAGTTCACTATTTATTTTAAAATCACTTATTTTCACCTTAGTTGGCCCCATGTTGTATGGAATGTGACATGGTCACCGATGGGTTGGTGTCAGTTTTTTTTTTATCACATTCATTAGTAATGTCATGCTTGGAATCACTCTTTTGTTTGTAGATTTGATAGGAATTTTGGACATCGTATAGTGTCATAGAAAAAATGAAAACGAGAGATATAATTGCACCTCAACTCATTTGCATATATAAATTTAAATTTTATACACATTGCACCCAAACATGAAGTTGGTTTAACTACACTATTTACGATTGCATGAATAATAAATAATATATAAATAACATTAGGAAGATAATAATAATAAAATTAATACTTAATAAAATATAATTAAATTTTGGCCTCTAAATAAATATTGCAGTATTATTGAAACTAAATAGTGATTATTAGACATAAATATGCATTGTTAATTTTTTTTTTAAATAAAACAAAGATAGATATGTATATATATTTAAATTATCAACCAATGCAAAAATCCATAAATTTCTATGAAACAGTTATTTTTTGGTTAGTGGATCGTCAAACTGACTTCTCATCTAACTATTAAAGTTCCACCTGTCATAATTAAATCCAGTTTACCAAATAAACAATTATTTAAAATATTATTTTTGATATTCACTTTTGAAAACAATGTTAATGAACATTATTGTCATTATTATTATAGAGTGATAAATGTCATTTAAATCATTTGCAAAATATTAAACAAAGGTGATCGATTTTAAGCCGATCATGTCAGTGAAACCCTTGTAATTGTCTGTGTCTATGTTCACACACGGCAGCTAATGGTAGCAGGATCCAGATGAGTAAATACACATTATAAATAATAATAATAATAATTGTCGACTTATAGCGCATATTGTAGACTAACCTCTATGCGCTTTACATATTACCCTGGTTACTGGATCAAGCACATGGAACACAACACTCATGCCCCATAATGTTGCTGCTGTAAATAGCGCATGGTTGTGTTTGAACCTACCAGGTACCTGGGTGGAGAAAGACAACCGTAGATAAAGTGGCTTGCCCAAGGACACAAGCGACTTGCACAGCGAGAGTTTCAAACCCCCGACCTCAAGGTTGGGAGTCCAAGCCACAACCGTTGCGCCAACGAATTCTACACGCTCACCCTTGTGTTCATACAAGAAAATCCCAAGTCGATATCCAAGATGTTGATGGGATCACTAGCCAATAGGAAACTGGAAATTGGAAATGCGTATGTGTGATTGGTTAATGATAAATACGCACTTAACTTGCAAACCGATAGCATTCGCTGACCGTATTCATATCCTAGTAATGGTTAGTACTAACTGACTGGGCGTTCTCACACGGGTGATAACGGTTAGCTTCCGATCCGGATACAGGGCGCTAGTGTGAACTTGACCTGTCTCTCTTTTGAGAGATGAATGTATTGGTGTTTTGTGTTCTTAAACATTTTGAATTAAGCTACTGTACGTTCACACCATAGCCGGATAAAAAAAAATCATGAAAAACAGGTTCAGTGGTAAAGAATAAGACTGTTCAAATTCGTACGATTTCCAATCCGGACTCGGATCCACAGCGATGGATCAGAGAGCCATTTGCATTGTGAAATTGTACATTTTCAAGATTCCAGATTCAGATATAGAGTAAAAATGTTAAAATGACAGAAAAAATTTAAAAGTTAAGATACAACAGCGAAAGAACACAAAAAAAGCCAATGGTTTCTATTAAAATTTAAATTAAATTGCTTGTGGTAGGAAGGAGAGAAGATGGCGATTTGTGCAAGAGGCCGGTGGTCTGAAACGTCTGCTACGCTGGGTTCTCTGTCTGTTTTTTTCATTAGACGAATCAGCAACAAGCATGGTTGGTTCAAATGCCTACATGGAAGTGATGAATGAACTATGTGTTCCGTGATGCAGCGTTTTAAAGCGGAGCAAATCACGATTTGATGTCTTGGGACTGGATCCGTGCTTGATGTGAACTTGACTTTTATACCCAGGAATAGAATCGGAGCATATTTTTAAGCCACCAAACCACAGCGCTTTCTCATAAATAAACCAATGAATTGTGTAAAAGTAACCATGATACTAAGTGAAAAAAGTGTAGACAATAGTTAAAACATGCAAAAGAGGCCAAATGAGAAGTAAACACAATTTCACAATTTGATTTTTTAAATTTATTTTCTGTTTTAGAAATACTGTAGTATTTTAATTTTTCTGATGTGATAGCATATAGTTCATTCATCACTTCCATGTTATGTAAGAATGTTGATGACCTGATGATTAATGATGAATGTTTGCATGACCTCACTTGACATTTATTTTGCCCCAGAAGATGTTTATTTTGTCACAGGAGAAGTTTATTTTATTAAAATTAAAATGGTGAGGGGTGGCTTATGTTACTGTACTTGTACTTCGAGTTAGCCACCCTTCATATACTGCCCCCTATAATAATATAAACAATACTTGATCGTTTATATATATTGCCAGTATGACACTCCTGGCATTTTATTTTAAATTATTTTATTCATTCTGTCAATACAAATAACAAATTAATATGAAACATAAATACAAAAAATCAGCAAATTCACAAACATATAAGGGTAATTAGGTGAGCCGCATATATGTTATAGCATACAGGTTAATTGTGATGTCCCCATCCTAATCACAAAATATCGTTTATAAGATATATATATTTTGATTTAATCCATAAATCCATTAATGAAATAAATACATGATTTGAGATTTAACCGTGCATTTCTAATAATTATCCAATACCAGTTTTATATTTTATATTTAATGTAAATTATATTCACTGCATTAAAAATTCTTGTATTATATTTTCTGATTATAGACACTATTAAAAAATATTATTATCACCATTTTACTTTGTTAAATTATTGTCTGTTATGATTTTTTAGCATTGCTGTTACGATAATCAAAAAAAGAATCACCAAAATGCCAAGACAATTAACCTAGGCTATTTAAAAAATACACTGTAAAGAAATGACAGCATACAAAACAAGAAGTATAATATAAAATGAGATATTGTTTATGATTACACAACACAGACCTTAGCTGTATATATCCCCATATTAGAGAATTTGACAATATTTCATACTGTGGGTACTGTGTGTAAAAACTGAACACAAACCAGTATTAACTGTAACTGTGAATTTAGATTAATAGACCGAATTAGTCACCAACACAAAGCAGTTATAGTGTGTATAACATTGAAACAGCGAGGTGGCAGTTTTTTCACACTATAATAAGCCTCCGCTCAAATAAATTTTGACAGTTTTAAAACTCCTCAAACTTATTTATTTGTACATTTTATCATAAAATAACTTATCGAAAAGCCTTGGTGAATATTTCTTTTAATAAATGTCAGAATTTTGACCCGTTAAATTTGAAATGGAGTGAAATAAACAGATGGAAAACTTTAACATTTAACACGGGCCTAGCCCTAGACTAGAGTCATACAAACAACGTTCTTCTGCTCATTGGCCATGGTAGTCCAGAGAAACTTATTCTACAATTCAGCAATTTAATTTTGTCTAATAGTTAAAATATTTTATACAGAAATTGCATCAAAATGGCTTGGTAAACAGTATTTGACGCTTAATGTGTACCTCTAAATCAATAGCGATCGCCTAGTCAGCGCTGGATATATGGCAAGTCCCGCAAGCAGTTGGCCTAGACCCCATAGGAGGCCACTCAAAACACTTCATATTTTTAGTTTGGATGGAAATGTAAATCAAATCAACCTTTAGACTCAAGAATCTACGAATCATTTAAAATGTATATGTTATAAAAATAACGATTTAATAAATACCACTTTCGACTCCACTCAATGCATTAGCATAGCTCCTTGTGGTTTGTTGGCAAAATCATACCCACTTGGCCAAAATTTGATGACATCATCTTTAGTGACTAACTCGGTCTATTGCTAGCGCTCAAAATTACTTGTATTTTCACACCTAGTAAGACCTACAAACATTGATTTTTTTTAAACATACCTTACATGGTAAATATTATATAAAATTCTCTAATTGGGATGTAAATTTAAACATAGTTACTTTCGTTATCTCGTTCGAGAATCAATTCACCGAGAAAATTTCTCTTTCCTGACCAAAACAACCCAGCCAACCATGCACTTAGTTACGTGGAAACTAGTAGCCGTGTGCAGTCTTGCTTGTTCATTGTCAAAAACAACAGTTGATTATGTAACTGGAACCCGTTGCACCAGGGTTCCACCCCTGACCCCGGGGCCCTGGCACACCCCAACCCCCACCAAACTGGTGTAGTCATGCATTTCGAATCTGTCAGGTTGCTAACTATGTTTAAAGTATATATTTATATTCATCATAAATCATTTCATTCATAGCATTTAGCGGCCTCATTTCAACTTGCAGGAAAAGGCAGCCTATATTTTTTATAGGAAATGCGAAAGCTTAAAATTTAATTTCTAGCCTTAGACGGTCTGTTTGATTCCTGTTTTAGGCAAATGATTTAGTACCGTAAATGTAAACGGACACTACTTGGAGGCTAGTCTTGTACCGTAAAGCAAGTGTAAATGAAATCATTGTCGTTTGGGGATTTGTGTTTTTCTGGTGACTATAAGTTGGTGAAGTAACTTTGTGCCTAATGTTCTAAATGCTCTGATAATTCCATTTTATGGCTCTTACCAATATATTTCAATATTATTTGTATTATTTGTTGATTTAAACAACTATTTCAATTTCATTGTAATTTTCTTAATTCTAAATCTATCTTTTACTTATTTTACTCTCATTCTTGAAATATTATTAACAAATATCTATTGCTTGGTATATTTTAATATTTTAAAAGTATATATTATTAACCATCAAACATTTGTATATGTAACCATTGGCATATAGTGCACTATATACTTAACTTCAGCTACTATTAACTGGCATGCTATTACTGTTGACCTACTGTTATGTTATGTGCTTGACACTTTATCAGATCACTGCATTGCATTTTTATTTAATTTATATATTTTTGTTGCTTTTTGCCACTATTCAATGTCAGATGCCTGGATAAATACATGTAAAGTATTCAGTTAGTTGATTGGAATGTGTGTAGCATTCAATAGCAAATTATATTGAATGTTATTTTATGCATATTGAATACTATACAATGTATATTTTATTACTATTTAAATGTTGTATTGCCTGTGTTAGATATGTTTGTATGTATGAATGATATGTTGTATTCAATTTGTTTTGTATATTATTATTATTATTTTTATTATTGTTATTATATTATTATTGTTATTATTATTATTATTATTATTATTGGTTGACCTAAACCCTACAAATGTTTCTGATAAATTGAAATCATAATTAAAATATTGTGAGAAATATTTCCAAATCAATTTTGATTTAAATTGGATAATGATCATTATGTTGGGTTTTTTTTTTCAATTTAATATTTTCAAAGTTACCATAACATTTTATTACATATTTTAATATTATCTCTAGATCATTTATAAACAGTTATTAACAAACATTTATGATATTTTTCTATATTAAAAGAACACACAGATAGATAATTTTGGATCAAGTTCTTTGATTATTTTGACTGTCCTGTAGTCCTAAACATGTTGTTAATTTGCAATATCAGGTTCAATTCACTTGCTATATATACACAAGTACTAAATTGCAATGTCACTGATGATGGGACTGGCTTTCTCGAAACATGTCTATTAGATTAAATGTTTGTGTCTTATTTATAGAATTCCTGATTGAGTTTGTTTTATGGGTTTATATTCTTTTAAACAATTAAATTTATTTTGTTTTAATTCAAAATTCATAAGTGAAGTAGATATAAAATATTCCAAGGTCAAACATTTATGTGCTATGTTTTAAACCACTTGGAAATCAAAGATCTTAAAGTTTTTCATTTTTCTTATCCTGAGATAGATTGTATTGAGTTTATTTGTTGCTGTCATCTTGGATAATCTTGAGTTGCCCGAAGAAATGAAGCGTATCAAACAGCTGAAAGCAACCGAGCAGAAAACAGTCGCTGAAAAGTTGCCACTTAGACTTCAGATCTTTGAAAAATTTCCGTAAGTATAGTTCTTGTTACATTGCTGTTGATGATACTGGCTCTTGCTGTTGATATTGTTTCTGTTGCTGCTGTTTTTGTCAGTGCTGTGGTTGTTGCTGATTGTTTCAGTTGTTGTTTTTGTCAATGCTGTGGTTGTTGCTGATTGTTTCAGTTGTTGTTTTTGTCAATGCTGTGGTTGTTGCTGATTGTTTCAGTTGTTGTTTTTGTCAATGCTGTGGTTGTTGCTGATTGTTTCAGTTGTGGTTTTTGTCAATGCTGTGGTTGTTGCTGATTGTTTCAGTTGTGGTTTTTGTCAATGCTGTGGTTGTTGCTGATTGTTTCAGTTGTTGTTTTTGTCAATGCTGTGGTTGTTGCTGATTGTTTCAGTTGTTGTTTTTGTCAATGCTGCGGTTGTTGCTGATTGTTTCAGTTGTTGTTTTTGTCAATGCTGCGGTTGTTGCTGATTGTTTCAGTTGTGGTTTTTGTCAATGCTGCGGTTGTTGCTGATTGTTTCAGTTGTTGTTTTTGTCAATGCTGTGGTTGTTGCTGATTGTTTCAGTTGTTTTTGTCAATGCTGTGGTTGTTGCTGATTGTTTCTGTTGTTGTTTTTGTCAATGCTGCGGTTGTTGCTGATTGTTTCTGTTGTTGGTTTTGTCAATGCTATGGTTGTTTCTGATTGTTTCAGTTGTTGTTTTTGTCAATGCTGTGGTTGTTGCTGATTGTTTCAGTTGTTGTTTTTGTCAATGCTGTGGTTGTTGCTGAGTGTTTCTGTTGTTGTTTTTGTCAATGCTGTGGTTGTTGCTGATTGTTTCAGTTGTTGTTTTTGTCAATGCTGTGGTTGTTGCTGATTGTTTCAGTTATTGTTTTTGTCAATACTGTGGTTGTTGCTGATTGTTTCTGTTGTTGTTTTTGTCAATGCTGTGGTTGTTGCTGGTTGTTTCAGTTGTTGTTTTTGTCAATGCTGCGGTTGTTGCTGGTTGTTTCAGTTGTTGTTTTTATCAATGCTGTGGTTGTTGCTGATTGTTTCAGTTGTTGTTTTTGTCAATGCTGCTGTTGTTGCTGCTGTTTCGGTTGTTGCTGATTGTTTCAGTTGTTGTTTTTGTCAATGCTGTGGTTGTTGCTGATTGTTTCAGTTGTTGTTTTTGTCAATGCTGCGGTTGTTGCTGATTGTTTCAGTTGTTGTTTTTGTCAATGCTGTTGTTGCTGCTGTTTCTGTTGTTTTTGTCAATGCTGTGGTTGTTGCTGCTGTTTCTGTTGTTGTTTTGTCAATGCTGTGGTTGTTGCTGATTGTTTCAGTTGTTGTTTTTGTCAATGCTGTGGTTGTTGCTGATTGTTTCAGTTCTTGTTTTTGTCAATGCTGTGGTTGTTGCTCCTGTTTCTGTTGTTGTTTTGTCAATGCTGTGGTTGTTGCTGATTGTTTCAGTTGTTGTTTTTGTCAATGCTGTTGTTGTTGCTGATTGTTTCAGTTGTTGTTTTTGTCAATGCTGTGGTTGTTGCTGCTGTTTCTGTTGTTGTTGCTGGTGTTGTTTTTATTTTTGTAGTCTTTTCTCAAACATTGCTCTGATCGGCATCATGTGCAATGTTTGTTGGAATGTTGCCATGTGAATGGAACAGGTGATTGATATTTTAATTGATATATTGATTGATTGATTGATTGATTGATTGATTGATTGATTGCAAAAAGACATGCATTTGTTGCTCAAATATACTTTATATAAATTGAACTATATTTGCTGTACTTAAACTTCTGATTAAAATTTTTTATATCTTTTATTTTCTTCTTTGTTTTGTAGAGATAAACCGCAGACTGTTGTAATGTCAAGGCTACCATCTGATTTCACTCTTCCAAAAATAAGGTAAAAAAATAACATAATGACAATTAAGGGAGGAAAAACAAGAAATAAAGGCTAAAAATGAAACAAATTTTTGTTGCCCAGTCCATACCAATGCAAAATCTTTAAAATGTAGGATCATTTTTTTTTAAGCGTATCCCCCTGCATCTTTGGATCAACCACTCTGATCAAGTGAAGTCTAAAGTTTAAATCCCCTGAGCCTGATATTCAATTATATTTTAGTGAAGGTATTTATTTAAGTATGTCTCTGCCCTGGACTATAATGGGCCATTCCACTAAGCCCTGCCCCTTGGATATTGTTGCTATGGCCACACAAAATCAAAGTACAGTATCTTTGTAAACTTGCATTTTCTTGTGGGATAATATGTTCTGATTGACAGGTAAGTTTGATTTACACTGTAAAAAATGTAGTTTTTTTTATAGTTTTATTTTATTGTTTTTGAACTATTATGATATTTTTTGATTGATATTATTATGGACTACTGATGGCTTTCCTATTTGGATAGCATTGCTACAAAAAGAAAGCACAATTAATTTATGTGAACTCTTATGTTTGTGTGGCATGCTTGTATTCCTGGCCCTAAAAATAACATACCATGTTCTGATTGGTCAGTTGTTAAGTTTGATTGACACTTTATAAAGTCCTTTGGTTCTTCAATGTTGTTGAATGTTGTTAAACTGTTATGATGATGTATTGATTGGCATTATGATGACAGGCTGATGGCTCTTTTAGTTGCTTCTTTTTGCACCAGAATCATTGTTTTTTCTAGCAGTAATTTTTTGTTCTGTGTAAACTCAGAGAGAGCTTTATACGCCAGTTCATTGAGACGGGCACTGAAGTGGAGAGGATGTTACGAGGATCTGAAGAATCAAATATGGCGGCCATCAGTGAATCTATTGCTTCTAATCGACTGCTAAACCGGAGCTTAGCTCCCATCAAAGGTGTCACCTCTTTGCAGAAGAAAATTGGAGTATCAACAGTTGTTAAGTATGAAATAATATTTTCTTATGTTTCAAAAATATTTTTCTTAGCGCGACACTGTGTGGTCCACAGACAGACATTTCTACATACCCGGCTTTTCCAGTGTGAACACTCAGTCCACACACAGCTACAGTAAGACTTTGTGTGTAAAATGCACTCTCACCTACAGTACTTTTTAATGAACACTTGCCTTTCATAATCTGTAATGCAGTACTGAGTGATGGTGGCAGGATCTGTCCGACTAAGGAAGGCTGAAACGAATAATTATTACACTAGCTTCTTCAGACACTCTGACACCATCACTGACAGTACCACTGGGAGTAGCATCACTATGACAGAGGGCTCTGACACTCTGCACCAGCACTCTTAAAGGGATGTGCCTCTTGCACATTCTGGAGAAGCAAGACCCTGATGGTTTTGGATCCCTGCAGGCTTTCAACATCTGGTAGTTTATTGACTGCTACTTGGTGTACCAAGACAAACACAAATTTCTAATGGAAGAAAATTATTAAATCAATTTTTGCATCATAATTTTTTGCAATTTTTTTTTTTAGAGATTCAATGAAGCAGAGAGGGCTTAATATGGATGATGGAGGACACCTCACAGGGGGCTACACATTTTCCGAATTTGGAAGCAGAGATCGAAGGTAAGTACTACTTTTCAGTTGCTAAGCCCATTGAAGGTAAATTAGACTTGTATATTATAAAATAATAATGTGGTAAAATTTATAATGCACTTTAAGGTTAAAACATAACTTGCCACTGGTACTATGAGAAAAAATTATAAATGTCGGAACTAATGTATTGCGGGTAGTGTACAAAAAGAAATTGTTTAAGATGTGTAAAAAATTTTTGGGTACTGGTTAATGTTCCTAATTTCTGTCGGGAGTGAATTCCAAGTTGAACGTCATAAAAGAAAAAGCCTGTTTACCAGTATTTCTGACTTGAAACATGCTACAAGCATGCTTGAAGCATGTTTCTGTAGGGTGAGCAAGTTTTCCAAGAAGTAATGTGGTAATCGACAAGTGAAGAAAGACTTTCCACTCTGTCGATGTCCTTTCACATTGATAGAATGGAAAGTCCGAAGGAGAATCTTGGATGTCAGCCTTCAATTGACAGGGAGTCAATTTGCTTTTCAGTATGGACTCACCAATTTTCAGGGGCGGATCCAGAGATGTCCAAACAGGGGGCCGAAAGGGGGGACCGAAATTTGGGCCGATCGAGACAACAATGTCCTAGGGAGTCCGGGGGCATGCCCCCGCGAAATTGTTGTGTTCTAGACGCCTGAAACATTTGAGGCATTGTTGGCTATCATTTTTTTCTTTTTCTTCCTTTTTTTCTTTTTTTTTTTCTTTTTTTTACTTCCCAGAAGGGGTGGCAGGGGCCAGGCCGCCCCCCCCTGAATCCGCCCCTGGCTGGTACCAGTTTACCGGTAGCTCAGACATGAATACACCCTTTGTTCCTGACTTAACTGTTCCGCTTTTACGTTAAGTTTTGCTTGCCATTGTATTGTTTTTATTGCTATTATTTTGTTATTTTCAGTGTGTGATTAAACTATGTATTGATTGATATAATTGTTGATATGTTAAGTTTTTTTAACTTTACATGGATGCTGTACATCATTTTGTAAGCTTCGATAATGTCACATGAACACTGTATATCATTTTTTATTAGCGAACATATTTTTGTAATTCGTCTATTAGTATGTAACAACTTTTAGGCAAAAAGTCTTCAATACTTGTTGAAAGTTACAAATTTTATATGAATGAAAATTTAAATGATAATTTTTTTGATTTTGAGGTTATCAATTTTTGTAAAATTTTATAAGAGAATAACACTTCGGTTGATCCCATCCTCCTAGCCTATGCGTTGTACTCTCGTAAAAGTGATTAAAGATTGGATGAGCCTTAATAAACAAAACAAGTAAAAGTAATTTATTTTTGTTTTTTTCTAATATAATATTGATGTGAGAATGTACGATGCAGCTGTGATTAGTTATTCAAAGCTTGTCATTTATTTTAGGGGTTTTCGTGGAAGTCTTAGAGGTCATCGCACTATGGAGGGAATCAGGGAGAATGGTGACTCAGTAGCCAATAGGAATGTCTCGTTTGATATCCGTGTAATTCAAGAAAGAAAACAATTAGCTGTTCAGAAAAGGTTTGTTTAATTTCTGTGTGGATCATAAGATTGGGATGGAAGAGGGCAGTATTTCAGTGCCCTTTATAATTTCAGATGTTGAAGCCAGCTACAACCAAGCATGTTGCTGTTTTTGAATCAGAACAAATATATCATAAAATCTAATAAACACAGTACTGTAATTTGGTTTTAAATTAACTTATTTAACTTATTTTTCAGAAAGTACTAGGCTTACAAATAATGAAATAAACTATTTTATTTTATTTTAAATATTTATTTATTTATTGAACCAAAATTTAAGTGATAGAAAAGGGTTAGGGACAGTTAAATAGAATTCTCACGCAATTATAGTCAACTTCTGAGGACACTAGCAAATACAGGCCTAAGGAGTCATTATTTCTACAATAAATTTTGAAGGAAATAATGGCTCCTAAGGCTTCTATTTTCTATAGGGTTGGAAATAATTTGACAATAATTGCTTTATAAGTCACTCACCCTGTTTTATATATATTTAGGCTATACTGTTTTTGGTGTGAATCACCACAAGCATAACCCACTAAGTCCGAAGACTTGTTTTCAGTGGGGTTCTCCTGGTGGTGAATTGGACAGTACACTGGGAGACAATTCCCCACTCTTTTTCAAAGAGTGTACTGCGTTCTTTAACGCGCATGGGCCATAATGCAAACAACAGCTTAAACGTCTGATCTGAAAGGCGGTCCATTATCGTAACCTGCATTTCAGCCATCCAGCTGAAACACAAGGAAAGCAGCGATGGGAATTGAACTGGGACGTAGAGATCTCCACGGTTCAGCGCACACACAGTGGCTGCCATTAGTTTAGCCGACTGAGCTAAGCCACTCTCAACACATTAACATAAACATTGCACAATATTTAGACCCTACCACCCTACATTCAAAAAATGTAAATGGAATAAGGACATAAAAGTTAATTAGCAGTTAATTAAGAAAGAAACATCTGATTTTCTAAAGGAAAATGTTTGAGAAAATATGAAACTTATCTTTTATAGTATTAGTGACAATTTCCGAAGAACCACAAATGTATGGATATGTGTGCTATTTTATTACCCTCCCCCAAAGAAGGCTATATATTCACCGCTGTCTATCAGTCTGTTAGCAAGACTAAGCACATAGATCATCATAAAGGCTATGTTCTCACACGGCAGCTAACGGTTAGCAGGATCCGGATCCTACTAACCATTAGCTGGCGTGCGTCCATGCGAGAAAATCCCGATCCAGATACCAACAATATGATGATCGAATCACTGGCCAATAAGAAACTGGAAATTGTAAATGCGTACGTGTGATTGGTTGATGGTAGAAACGCATTCAACTTGCTAACCGATAGCGCTTGCTAACCGTTAGCATATCCGGATATCGCAAACGGTTGGCGCTAACCGATCGGGCGTTCTCACACAGGTGCTAACGGTTAGCTCCCGATCTGGATACTAGGGCTCTTGTGAGAACCAGGCCAAAATTTAGTGGAATTGTACATACTAATTGAAGAAATAGTTGATTAAATTTTGGGAACAAACGGTCAAATATGACAAGGTCAAGGTCACAGATATTAAATTTTTTTATCCCGAGCATAAAAGAAAATAATTTAATCAGCCATTATAAGCAACCTGCTTGCTGTTCGGTATTCAGGCACAGGCAGAAAAATAACGGAATTGCCAATCATACATGGCCAGCGTATGGTTTGGTACTGTAGGCACAGGGTGGAGGTATGCACTCCAATGAATGACTGCTCTAGTTTTGGTTTTTTTTTTATCAGGAGTTATTGTTCACTTGTTTTTCTTTGCAGAGACGCTAAAGAAGATGAACTGCGGGAAAACCACCCATACTTTGATATGCCTCTGCTGACCTTTGACCAGGAAAGTCGTATCCGGCAAATATGCATGGCAATCGTCTATGCTCGCTACGACCCGTAAGTTATTCACATATAACTTAACTATAGTCTCATTTGTCGTCGCATTACAACTTGTTAGATTTGATAAAGTGCTGTACATGACAGTTAGGTAGTTTGTATGCTTTTTTTTTTTTATTATTAAATATAAATTATTTTCTTATTTATAAAGAACAATGAGAGAGCTTAGTAAAGGAATAATGAAGAAGAGTCGCTATCAGTCTGTTCAGTAAGTTCACATTTCATTTCTTTCATATTGTTATTTTCCAAAATATGGTCATCATTACATATTATATATTTTATTATCTCATATAATCCACTTTGATTTAGTTGATAGCGTTAAACATTAACAAGCCAAACCGAAACGTTTTTTTTGGTTTTTTTTTGGCTTTGATAAGCATGATATTACCACTGTCTATATAAGACCAATTTAAGAACTTGTTGGAAAATGTTTCTTTTTGTAGTGATTTCCTTGGCATTGTAACATACCTTAGTTGGTGCTCCATCCTTGTAACAATAGGATCGTGCATTTCTATGTTTTGGGAGCATCCAGATAATCGCATCATGGATAACAATAGTCTGAAGATCATGGAATTTATCTTTGTTATTTTCATGAGTTTTGAACTGCTACTGAAGGTTAGTTACTTTTAATGTAATACATTAAGTAGTTTTTTTCATTTTTAAATTTATGGCTCAACAATTGTAGTGATACAATAAACAAAGTTAGTGATACATATAAACAAAAGAAGTCTCCGGGGGTTAAAAATGTATTGATTTAACTATTTGGCACACTCTGAAAGTGTACCTGTCCCCTTAATAGGATGGGCCGTAGTGTTAAAAGATATATTTCCCTTAATAGGGATGTTTTCTGAATAGGGGTGTCCCAAAGGAGGGGTTCTATTGTATCTCTCAGTTACAACCCTCCTCAATACAAAGTCTATATATTGATCTCATCAGTGTTTTGATTACAGAACACCTTCCAAATGTGAACCTTCCTAAATACAAACTGTAATTTCTGAATGCTATAAATCTCTTATTATAACCATCAAAACTTGTGAAACTGTGTTTTAAAATTTTCAAATTATAAAGTGTTTATGTCAGCTCAATGAATGTGTTTAAACCTTTTCATAGACATATGTCTGGTTTTAAGCAAGAAATATTGTTGTTAGCCCTGGTATCGTCAAAATCTTCATTCAAAAAAGATCTGAGCATGCATTGCTTGCTTCCCATGACAAGGTTTTGCTCTACAATGGCCTTCTGAGATTTTCAATTTCAACTTCATTATTAGAAATTTCAACTAAATTACAAATTGTTGGAATGGAGGAGTATATTATTTGGAAGATGTTACTCTAGCTATCAAAACTGATTTCAACCACTCATTTTACTTATACAATTGATACCAATCCCCTTAAAGTTGTTTAATCACATAAATATCTTGGTATTGCCCTTTCACATGATCTTACATAGTCAACCCATGTTAATAATGCATCAATGAAAATTTTAGATTTTGTTTTAACAATACTACTATTACTGCTTTTACATGCTCTTTGTCGTCCCAATTACCGAATACGTTGCCCCTGCGTGGGATCCACACCAAACACATGAAGATATTAACAAGTTATTGAGATGTATACTGTAGTATACTGTAGGTTATACGTTAAAGGTGATTTTTTGCATACAGGCTTCGAAATCAGTTTGGCGCAGTGATTTGCATTCAGGTTGTGAAACTCGTTGTCTAGGGTTCGAATTACACGCTGAACATTCTCGGCCAGCCATGCGTAGTTACCCCAGCTTGCACAGTTGACAGGTTGTGAAGTGGCTCACGCTATGTTTCAGCCCTAGGTGGGAGTGTTTCATGGCTTATAAATTAAATAAATATTGTGTGGCCACCTCTCATCAACATTGATGTTAACATCAGGCCTAATTAACTAAGATATACAAAAAAAAATTACCTGATATGGTTCAAAAAATAAAATTCCATAGCATGGTTTTTGTTGTCAAATGGTCAATACCCAGAAACTCTCACTTTGAAAAACACATGGTAAAACTAATGTATTTATTATATATTCTTTATTTATGAATTTTCCTAAAAAATTTGGAACATATTCCTTATGATAAAGCTTTGTAAAATTTTGAAGGGTAATCAAAAGCATTGAATTTTTGATATTTTGTTTGTGTTTTATTTTGTACTAATTAGTTGAGAAAGCCATTTGAAATTCAATGACTGGTTTAACCTTTGGTTACTCACAGGTTCTATTGTATGTTTGTTTATTTTCTGATTTTTACCTAGAAATGTACATTTTCTGTTTTTAATGCTTTTGTTTACAGTATCAGTCATCCAAATTTCATTTATACCATGTTGTGTAAGTGACAATGAAGTTAAATCGTGTCATATAGCATTATCCACTATCAATTGTAAGCATTCAAAAAAATGAATCATTTTGGGATGACAAGACAATCTGCATACTCTAATAATACATTTTGTACGCAATAGGTGTTGGCGGATGGATTATTTTTCACTCCAAAAGCTTTGATTCGTGATGCTGGAGGCGCTTTAGACGTGTTCATCTACTTTACAAGCCTAATCTTCTTGTCGTGGATGCCAAAAAAAGTTAAAGTAAATTCTTTGGCTCAGGTAATGTGCACATATCATAAAACCTTGAATAGAAGTCCTGATGGGCTTTTTTTTTGTGAGATAGTTCTCTATTTGAGATGGGCTTTCAAGATTACTATTGCAAACTAAAGAGGAGGCTTCATTTCAAAATGAATGCTGTACATTTTGGAATTGCAACTATGGAATTCAGAATTTGATTAATATTTTTTTAATTTTATCCATCCTAGTACAATAAAATAATATTAATACTGAAACAGTATCATAATCAAAGATGATGTCAGTCTGAATATAAGTACTATCTCGGAAGAACCACGTATTATCTTGATTAGAAGCCCATGGGCTTCTTTTCAAGATTATTTTTGCAATCTGAAGAGGGTGGGGGGCTTTTATTCGAGATGGGCTTCTCAAGATTAAGCCAGTGGGACTTCTATTCGAGGTTTTTGTGTATATATATACACATATATATATGTATATATATATAATATCTTATATTTTTTGCCCGTATCTTGCTGTACACTTGACACTTCTGGTTATTTCATCCATTGTGCAGATGTTTCATTCATTTTTGTGAATTGATAATAACTAAATATATTGAGTGCTTGGAGAGAGCTGATTTAAAACTTGTGTTTTAAAATAAGTTGAATTGAAAATGGTATCTGAATTGTCCTTGAATTTTGCAGATGTTTATGATTCTTCGGTGCTTTCGTCCTCTTCGGATATTTACATTGGTGCCGCACCTGCGCAAGGTTGTCTACGAATTGTTACGAGGTTTCAAAGAGATCATTCTTGTTTCCATTCTGCTTCTGGCTTTGCTATTCATGTTCGCAAGTTACGGAGTTCAGCAGTTTGCCGACAGTCTGGGCAAGTGCAATGATGAAAGTATCACATATAAGGTATGTTGGTTATTTCTTCTTCTGAAATTGAGGACCCACTTCATATTTAAAGGCTTCAGCCTGAGACAGGGATGGACAACTAAATCTTAGAAATTACTTCTGAGTAAGGGTCTTCATCTTCTTCCATTAATGGACAAACTTCAATGCAGAAGTGCTCCTGTTGTGTCATGCAGTTAACAAGGCTCTGTCTAGTGCACAGGGTGTGACATGAAGCTGCTAGTTAGTCACTTACCATGCCCATATGCAATGCAGCACAATGACGCTGCAAGTTATGGATTATGGGTTATTCTCCTACCTTTACCTTTACCTTTAAGCTAGTTTGGTGAAGACAAGCCAAACCAGTCACTCATCGCAAATCGTGTTTTGGAGATAATGGCTAATACATGTTGGAAAGTCTTTTATTTCACAAAACTAAACTTTGTATCTATATTATATATACAGTATAATATGCTTGCTTAAATTTGTAAATATTTATAAGGATAATTGGTAGGCTCATAAGCAATTTGGATTTTAGGCCATGGTTTGTGACCAATTTTATTGTTTTTTTGTCAAAGTGAAATTTAATTGAACTGGTATATTTAAAATCAAAATGATGTTTCAAATAATGTTATCATTGGTAAATTTTTCTAAAATATTTGCTTATGTAGGAAGACTGTCATGGTGAGTTTCTGCAAACTGTCGGAGTTGTCAAATTTCCCGTACTTGAGGACAATCAGACTACATTCCTAGTTCCACGAGTGTGGTAAGTTGCAGAAGGTACTGGTTACTCACCTTATGTCTAAAATAGACATAACATAGGCCTGGCCAACTATATAATGATTTAATGCTAGTTTATTACGGCAGTTACACTAAGTGTTTGTTACTTCTCCTATGCTTATAGAGACCCCTTGTGTTTTTCAGTCTAATGTATGATGATGGCTTCTGGTTTATTGAACTGATATTCCAGTGTCCTTTTAAATTTCAGAAACAGTTCATTGCTGTATTATGCACAGTCAAACTGCTGGTAGCTACTGTGATTGTGTTGAAATGTAGAAATCATTTGATACCCAGTTCAGTTCCATCCACTGCTCTCATTGTGTTTCACCTAGCGGGTTTGGTGCCCAGATCTCAAGTACATATGTAAATTTTGTTGCAGTGGCACACATCACCACTTATGGTGCATCCAAAAACAAAATTAAAACAATTGAAAGAAACATGAAACAAAAAAAAACTTATGTTAACAAGTCAAATGTAGAAGGACACATATCTTCATTATTAAACTGTTTGTCAGGAATTAAATTTATTATTTAAAACGTTTTACAGAAATGGACCTTTCTGCGAAGCCCCGCCCCTTGGATATTGTTGCTAAGGTCCCACAAACGACAGTGTAGAAGCATATGTGCACACGTGCGTTCGTGGGACAACATGTGTGTTTGTAGCACACAGGCCTATTCCTGGCACTGTTCTGATTGGTTAGTTGTTAAGTTTGATTTACATTCCAGAAAGGTCCACTTATTATACTGATGGGAAATAATCAGATTCATGTTTTTTAAATTGCAGGTCAAACCCTCGTAATTTTAATTTTGACAACATTGGTCATGCCATGTTGGCATTGTTTGAGGTTTTGTCTTTAGAAGGCTGGTTAGAAATCAGAGATATCATCGAGGAACGAAAAGGAATTGTAAGCCACTTGAAAATTTCCTTGCTCTGATTTTTAGGGAGCTTTCAATTTGTTTGACGATACTAGATCAGAATCACTCATGCGTGACTGTCCTACCGGGCATCCTACGTTCTCTGCATACATAGATTTGGCTCAATTACGTCCTCCCATTCTCCCATGCACAGATGACTTTTAGCGACATCATTGCGTTTTACGTCATGCCGTCGTCGTGCATTCGAAAGCTCAATTATATTGACATGTCGTACTAAATTTTAACTGGGATATCTGTTCCTATATGTTCCTCCAGTGAAGATATGTGTGATGCAAAATTAAAAAATAATCTGAATGTTTTAGGCCTCCTGGAATTCTGTTTTTTTTTTTTTTTTAAGATGGACAAAAGATATTGGTACCTTTATTACCATATTTATTCGAATAAACGCCCGGAGGTGTTTATTGTTGAAAAGTATTTTTGAAGGGAAAATTGTATACGTATACAGTATACTCAAATAAATGCCCCTTAATTTCACTGTAAATGTAGAACTACAACACTTAATTACTGTCAAAATGTGATATTCTGGATCATAAAGATTTACTGATCCCAACCAGTGTAGAAAAAATGTAATTTTACTTTAGTAGAACATTAATAATAGAATATGTTGAGAATGATGTTGCTTCCATCAGTTTTTTTTACACTCATTCAAGTAAGGGGGTGGGGGTGGGGGTTCAGTTGTTTAATTGAGGCAAAATTAAACTGCCCCAGGGCATTTATTTAAGGGATGTGATACAATAAACCGTTGAATGTTAACTCATTAAATATCTTTAAAATTAACAATGTTCCCCTGATTGCATTTTTCTGACTTTTAGTATGTTATTTTTGTGTATGTTTCTGATTCAGCAAAAAATTGACTGGACTATTGCTAGAGAAAATATCCTTGGTGCAATTTGTTAATATGTAGTACAATTCAATCAGGTGAATTGAGTATCAGTTTTGTTAGCGTTTTATCTTGTGTAGCTTTTTTATATGAATATTATTAAAATAGTACAGTATAAAATTTTTTCACCCTCAACCTCATCAATAGTATTATCATCAATGTAGTGTTATTAATATTATTGTCACTGTTACTATTAACTACTTTGACCTCTGGCATTTCAACTGTTCTTCATATTTACAGCGGTACTGCATCTACATCCATGTGTTCGTGTTCATTGGCTGTATGATTGGTCTGACATTGTTTGTAGGTGTGGTCATTGCAAATTTCTTTGAAAACAAGGTATTAAGCCAAAACTCTTTGTTCTTCTTGCTCAACTTAATGTATACATAATTTGAGGCTACTTGTTTTTTTGCATAACTATTTTGAAAAGTATATAGACCAATAAAAGTTCTTGAATCTTGAATTTGTAACCTCTAAATATGCTGCATAATTTTCTTTATAACAAATAACTTTGTAGTCAACATTGTAAGGCCAAAAAATGTGTTGTCAACTATAATTCTTTTTAGATAGATTTTGGATTAAAAAAAATATTGTTGTCTATTTCGTGAATACTTACCTGGATAAACCGATAATTGCCTAAGTTTCCTTTGAAACTTACCTCGAGCATAAAAGAAAAATAATGGACTCGCCCTAGCTCGCCTATATACGCCCTGCGAGAATGAACAATATCCTTGTTTCCTTCTTGCTTTTGTCTTGTGTAGACGTGTGAAAGCTTGCTGTTGTTGTTTACAAGGAGTTGTAAAGTTGTAGTGTAGTATTGTTTTTTTCCTAATAATATGGTCGCAAAGGATGAATGAACTTTAATTGTAAATTTGTGCTTCAGGGAACAGCATTGATGACTGTAGACCAGCGTCGATGGCAGGACTTGAAGGGGCGACTAAAACTTGCTCAACCTTTACATCTTCCCCCTCGTCCAGGTATTTCAGAGTTACTATTTATTATCCTTTTTAGTTCCTATGCATGAACTGTTTTCCCTGTGTGTAATGTGTGCGTGTGTGCAGACATTTATGCAAATGAGCATGCGTAAAAAAATGTTTTCCGCCATTTTTTTTTTCCTCGCAATGCGAAGTTCGATGTAAGTTGCTGCAGTGTTCAGTCAGGGCTCACGCTAACCGATCTGCAAGTCGGCATGGATGAAAGTTCTATTTTGGTTTTGCGGGAAAAAAAAATCAACTGGCTGTAGGCATAGGCATTTTGAAGAAGGCCTAAAATAAGAAGGTTTTAATATTTGCTGAAATACATCGTTTTGTCATTTAGATCTCCATTTTTCGCTACCTCCATGCGACGTTTTTTTCTCTTGTATAAGTAGTCATATGAAGGTACTATATCCCCGACAGTTGGCTATGCAGCAATGTACTCATTGAATGCAAACTGAAGACAAGTGAAGATATAAAGGCAGTCGACTATCTACAGTAGCTTAGGCTTTCCACAAAAACATGAGGCCTAGGCCTAGTTTAGTACAGTAGTTACTGTGATGCGAGGGTGGTAGATTGTTAATCAATGATATTGTGTTATTGTCTAATACGTAAAATACATTTAAATAATGTGTGTAAAATTTAAGAATGCACCGCGTGGGTCGCTTTCTTTGTTATGCGGTAGTATACGTAGCAGTGTAACGGCAGCAAGGCTAGGCCTAGCCTAGGTCCTAGATCATGTACCTTCTTGATCATCGTGATGAAAACTTCGTGTGACAGATGATTGGGGCCCAAATGGTGTGGACGATCTTGTCCAAGCTATTTTCAAATAAATTGTAGTCTAGTAGGCCACTGCCAGCTCCCCCACTCTCGATATCATTCCAAACTACTGTTAAATGAAAATACTGAATACCTAGGTAGGCCTAGGCCTACAAAATTTTTTTGAAGAAATTTGCTAAAAATATTACTGTAATTTGCCTATCACCAGTGTGGGCTTTAAAATCACTTATTTGGACCCTAAAGACTCCCCCTGAATTTTTCAACCACCACACAAATTTGACCCAACCATATTTTCTGATTATGTCATTTATGATAACTTAATCAGAAAATATGGTTGGTTGGTTAAGTCATGTATCATGCATAGGAACGTTGACGCCAGCAAGGATCTGGTTTGTTAACTTTTTCATCAGGGCCTACTTTAATTTGATTGTATTGTTTTTGTAAAAGGAAATACCTGTACTCATATCAATGATTTCAGTCATTGTTTATTTGGCAAAGGTTTTAAATTGTTAATTTCGATTAAGAGTGCGTAGAACAGTAAACAGCTCCTTCTACCTTCTACAATACATTTTCATTTGAAGTGACCTGGATGAACTTCGTTCTTACGCACTACTTTAAATTCTTTACCTTGTTAAAATTTAATTTACCTATCCACTTTGATTTGTAATATATATTCTCTTATGCTATAATGAAAAATATGATCATTTAACCATTTAATTATTGTGTATATATTGTTTTCACGGGTGTTTAATTTCCTTATTGCAGACCACTCTAGGATTCGTAGCAGTTTATATGATCTCACGCAAAACAAGTATTTCAAAAGATTCATTGCTTGCATGGTGATACTCAACTTTGGTTTTCTGTCCGTCAAGGTATTAAAGTTGTTTTTATTAACTCTCTTTTTTATACAACTGTGGTGCTGGACTCCATGATGTTGGTAAAAGTATTTTTTGTTAGCAGGGGGGGTTTTGGCCTGGTGGGTGTTAGCATTTTAACCTACTCAGTAGAACTCATTAGCCGCCATAAGGAGTGCGTCCGCACCCTCCACCTCTCCCCAGCCTACGCCCATCTTTACATATAATGTATTATTTTACTTAATTTTTCACAAAATGTAGGTTAAGAGCTGAAATGTACAAGAAAAATGTACAAAGTACAAAAACGCAAACGTCTTTCAGAAGAGACGCAAACGTCTTTCAGAAGAGACGTTTAAGATGTCGCTCCTGTGTGCAATATGGCCCATGTTCATGTTAAAGAATGCAATACACCCTTCAAAAAAAGAGTAGGTGATTGTCTAGTGGTGACTGCTTAAACAACACAAGAAGGTTGGACCACACTGGAAATAAGTCTTTAGATTTTGTGGGCTTGCCTTCAAAAAAAAATTAAAAAAATAAATCAAATTGAGTCCAATCCAATCATACTGACCCTTTCATTTTTTGTCTATTTTGTGAATACTTACTTTAGATAAACATTTTGTTGCCAATTTTCTATTATTACATATATAAATACCCCTCAAAAATATATAGGATCATCCCAGCTTCCTACATAATTTATCCTGTAATCAAGATCATATACTTTTTATCATAAATTACAGTATTGACTAAAAAAGCTTTAGTAAAATTTCTATGAAAATGTGTTTTTAAACAGGGTCTGTATTAAATTATTTATTTAAAACTCTTTCCACACTTTTATGTGGCAAAAATGTTATTGTCCTGTGTACAAGATGTCATATTATTTCTTCCATATATGGACAGTCCCTGGTATTTGTAAAATAAAATATTTTGTGACAGATGTGTGATTTGCTTTTATATGGCCATTATGTTGTCAAATTCATCCATATATGGACAAATCACTGGTATTTGTCACATAAAGTGTGATAGTATGGCCATAGCTTATGTTGATTTTAACCTGTTTATACATTTTGAATATTGACACAATAATAAATATGCTTCTCCATATTAGTGGAAAGATGCAAGCGGAGAAGAAGAAAAGAACGTTTCTTATTATCTGGCGTCCTGCTCCGTCATCTTCAACATCATCTTTGCTTTGGAAGTTATCCTAAAGTGCATTTCACTGAGTCCTATTGGTTACTGGCACAGTCGTCGCAATCGCTGTGATCTGATCGTCACTGTATGCGGTGTGGTCTGGGTAGTTTTGCTTTTGAATTATAAGGTACAATTAATATTATTAAACGTTGGTGGAGGTGTGGCTTGTAGTTTCTGATGCTAGAGTCATGTCACGCTAGGATTGTCACAACAGAGGTTTGCTGGAAATGATGACATCCTCTAGCACTCCCACTACCAAACACACTACCAAATTACATTTGACAAAAACATGTGACATGCCTAAATATAGTCATTATGGCATCACATCATCACCATATTATAATAATAACATTTATAAAGTGCTATGGAAGGACTTAACCAAAAATTACAGTGAACCTTAAAACTACCAAAAAAGAAACACCACACACATATCTGCATAGGGCCGGCCTATTCATAACTCACAGGAGCTCTTTTGAACAAAGACTGGCACAAGCAAGGCAGGGAGCAGAAAATTACTGCAAATGAACTATCACCCCATAAACGTGTAGACCTAGGCTCAACAAGCAGAAGTTTGTCAGTACCAGAGTGGAGAGTTTGTTATGGCACATACCATATCAGCAGTTTACAAAGATACTTTGGCCCATCATCTTTCAGCATCGTAAAAGTAACGAGCAAAATCTTGAAGATGACTATATATAGGCACATCAGGACTATACAGTATATGGGCACAACATTTTTTATCAAAGAAAATTTGTTAGCTGGACAGGACTTAAGCATTGTAATGAGAATGTATTTATAGAGCATAATATTTCATTTCACTTTTTAAGGGACCACTAAATATTATAAGTTGACCTGCTTGCATATAGGTCATCCTCTAATTTTTTTGTTTATGTAAACTTGTAGGATACAATATGATAAATGGTATTGTCATATTCCAAAAAAGTAAGCACAGTATAGAATTCCTTACTGAAATGTGAACAATAGTACCTTTTGTATTAAAAGACATTAAAGGTAAAGATAGTCCTGTATATATTGAGTTCTGAACATAGGGGAAGGTGCTGTTTACCCATTGTACTAAGCCTTGGCATTGTGAAGTAGAGTGGCCAGTTCTTTACACGTCGCCTTTTTCCTCCTCAGTAGTGAACCAGGTACCCTTCTTCTTCCAGTGAGTACAGAGCACTTTGATGTGACGAGGATCATCGTACTTAATTAAAGGGGTGGAAAAAATAAATAAATAAATAAAATTAATTAATTGATTAAAAAAATAAAATTGATTAATTAGCAAAAAAAAAACCAAAAAAACTGCATTTATACTCCTGGATGGAGAGAGACACGTAGGAAGCAAAGTGCACAGCGAAAGTTTGAACCCCCGACCTCGAGTTTGAGAGACCGAAATGCAATCACTGCTCCAAACGTTCCCAGACATTACAAATTCTAATAATGTGATCATGATTGTGATGCTAGCAAAATACTCATTGTTGAATAATTTCTCTTCATTTTTTATCAATATTTTGATATTCAGTGACTAATATCATATTCATAATCTTTGCAGGATCAAAACACCTACACCATTGGATATGTTATTATTGTCTTCCGGTTTTTCACTATAACTGGCAAACATGTAAGTTACTGGCCAACAGAGGGCAGTAAAACTCGTATTCATTTAGTATTGTTGGTATCAAATGCAGCAGTGATTTTACAATGTTATATTTTATAATACTGTACAGGTCTCCCTCCAATTAAAGACACTTTGGGGACCGGGGTTTTCATTGTCTTTAGCAGCTTTGGTCTCTAATTAGAATAATAAAGGTAAAAGTGCTAGTGGCCTAAAAATGCTATCCTCAAAAACTATTTCCTCTGTTTGTTCCTTAATCTAGTGTATCCATTTTTCAATTTTTGACCCTCCTACTATTTTCTTGGAAGTTCATTTGAGATAGTATGAAATAAACATAGAAGAGTATTTTATGTCAGACTTATCAGTGAACTACTGAATATCAGTATAATCTACTATAGACAAATCCAATTAGAAGAGGGTGCTTTGTATTGGCCCCACCATTTCTGAGGACCTCCTTGGGTTCCCTGCAAGCATGAAAGATCCATGTATGGTGGTGCGAAGTATTAACAGTAGATTACAGTAAAATCAAAATTCCAATATATACATTTTGTAGCACTGCATATGTGCAAGAATCCCCTACCAAATCTCCTAGCTGCTATGACGTCTGCAAAGGGAGATTAATCACTTTGAATGAGTCCATATATAGTCCATTGTGAGGATAAAACCTTAAAGGGGTTTTTTTTGTAGTACAGTACATTGCGCAGATGATGTGTAAGAATCCCCTACCAAAATCCTTTAGATGCTATGGCGTCTACAGAGAGAGATTAATCAATGAAAGGATCAGTCTATAGTCCATTTTGTGGATGAAACCTTTAAGGGTATTTTTTTTGTATATTTATGTAGCACATCGCACAGTGCCACAAAATTAATTGTAAAACAAGGATAGAAAAACAGTCGAATTGGGTCCAACACATACTGTGCCATTCATTAAAACAGCAGCGTGATGATGCGTCACACTGCAGATCATTTTTATGACATTCTGCTAACAATGATGCTGATAGTCAATAAACTGACGTTGCATCTCAAAAACGAGGTCTCAACCACCAACCATTAATATATTTGCAGTGTGTTCTAGTAGAATATAATCTTGCAGAGTTACTGTTTTGAAAGTGTTTTGTTTTCATATTTAGCCAACACTAAAGATGTTAATGATGACCATTGTGGTTTCTATGGTCAAGAGTTTCTTCATCATTGCCGGTCTGTTCCTGTTAATGACTGCTTATGCATTTGCTGGAGTTGTGTTGTTTGGAAAAGTAAAATATGGTGAAAGTTTAAGCCGGTAAGAAATGTTTTGTTGGATCATAGGAGATTCTATTTTTTTTCATGCTAATCATGATTGATCTAATCATAATTAGTCATGTTTGGGTCAATGTAGGGGTGCAGATATGGTATATTGTATGAATATGAACAATTACTGAACTACCTGGATGATTAACAATTTTCCCTAGATAGTGGATAAGTTGCACAGTCATTGTTTATGATGGAGTTCTTTTTCCAATCAACCAGTGGCATATCTAAGTCTTGAAATGTGCTAAAAGCTGTCGATGGCCTTTGCATGTGCACAAATTTTGAAGTTGAAAAGAAGGAAATTACTGGAGCCGGCATACCTCCAAACTTTCTCCACCATGGCAATGTGTGTAGACAACCAAATCTATTTTCTTCATTTTTATTTATTTGTTTTGTGATGTGATGTGAACCACATGAAGGCAAGGTGCAGTTGTAATCAATTAAAGCCAGAATACTATGAAGATTATTCATATAACAACTTTCACAATATCAAAAAACCTTATATTAATACTGTGTCATAGGTTGAACAACTGACCAATCTTTTCCTCCTGATTTAATTTACAAGTTTTTTTCTTTTAATCTGTAAAAGACAAGCCAACTTTGAGAATGCCACAAATGCTACTGCCACCCTCTTTCGTATTGTAACTGGAGAAGATTGGAACAAGATAATGCATGACTGTATGGTAAGACATGAATATAATTTACCTATTTAATGAGCCTGAACCATCAGGAATGCTTAACCAATCTCATTATGTGGGTTGCAGGGTGTTGAGGGAAGTACTTTGATTCTTGTCTGAGTTGTATCATAAGCTCTGTCTACACTAAACATTTTATATTACAAATTTTCGTGATGTGCCCAATTTGAAGACATATTATACCCAAATACTGTATGGGCATTTATTTGTCACATAAAAATTGATAGTGTGGAGAACTGAAAGTCTAACATCAAACCCTTGTTTTTAGGATTAGGATGATAATGGTGATGAGTATAATGATCTAGGATTTAGAATACAAGGAATAATGTAACACACTGCATTTTCTGACAGCGATTTTTGTCTTTTAAATTAGAGAAGGGCAGCACCTCTGAATCTATTGTACCACCATTAATAGTGTTACTACATGATGCTTTTATAGTGATGGTGGTTTATTGTAAAATCAAGCCAAGTATATACATACAGTACTTTAATAATTTTTTCTTTTTTTAAATAAAATATTTACAGTGTGTCGTGTTGCTTCCTTTGATCATCAATGTTGTTGTATGCTGATTTATTTTTTTGATTGGTCGTCTAGGTACAGCCAAAGGAATGCACACCAGGGGAGAACATCTGGGAAACAGACTGTGGTAACCCAGCTGCTTCTTTGTTCTACTTCTGTACATTTTATCTCATCATCGCCTACATAGTTCTCAATCTACTGGTTGGTTAGTCAATTATTTTCTTGTTTCCTGACTTAAAATTACACATTGGCTATATTAAAAAATTCCCTAAGGAAATATTCACGCTCAAGTAGTTCCTCTTATCACCATATTTTGTGACCTAGTGCCTGCACAATTATTCAACAGGGCGCCTATTCTATCTTCATCCCCTGCCTCCATCAACCCCCCCCCCCC